TTAATTTAAGACATTTTTACTTATATCTAGATTGTTTTTGCAGTGTGTACATTTGGAACATACTCAGGTCTCAGGAAATTATCAGTTCTTATAAAAAAAAATCTGTTCTCTGGTGTTAACAATAAACTTATCAGACCTAAAACCTATTTTTTGAGACCCCATAACCTATTTCCTAAGAAATGGCTTTTTTTATTTAAAAGTTTTTTATCTCTAAACTTTAGACTGGGTAACTTTTTTCCGGATATGTGAGTCTTCGACTTATTTTCTGATCATTTGTTTTCAGACATGACAACTATTCATTCTAAGACCTGATAGGTTATTATGCTGAGACTGGAGACCTGGCATTTTCTTCCACTGAGACCTGACAATGTTTTTTTGTCCTAACACTTGACAACTTTTCCCATGAGACCAGATACTGTAGTTTTTTTCTAAGACCTGAAAACAGATTTTCTATTATCACAGGATTTCCTAAAATGTACAACATACTAATGACTAGCTAGAAGATGTAAGGTTGAAGATTGAAACTATGGGCACACTACGCCAACAGTACCTCCTCTTTCCTTTTCTTGTAGCTACATCAAACTATTAGGCATGGCGTTGCAGATTGCATCTGGTATGAAGTACCTGTCTTCCCTCAACTTTGTACACCGGGACCTGGCAACTCGCAACTGCCTGGTAGGGAGAAACAACACCATCAAGATTGCAGATTTCGGCATGAGCAGGAACCTCTACAGAGGGGACTACTTCCGCATTCAAGGCCGAGCCGTCCTGCCAATTCGCTGGATGTCGTGGGAGAGCATCTTGTTGGTGAGTGAGCAGAGAACCTCAGGCTACATGAAAAACTGACATAATTATGCCAAAACTGCCTGTTCTCCGTCCTCTCAGGGTAAGTTCACCATGGCCAGTGATGTTTGGGCCTTCGGGGTGACCTTGTGGGAAATATTGACGCTTTGCAAGGAGCAGCCTTACTCCCATCTCTCTGACGAGCAAGTGATCGAAAACACAGGCGAGTTCTTAAGGAACCAGGGCAAGCAGGTAAGCACTGTATGAGGATTCCAAAAATATTCATACCTTAAGAAACCTTTAATGATTATTGTGATAAACTTTAGTGCCAGTTTAGTTCATAAAGAAACTCCAAATTGATCCAAATGTTCCTCCTGCAGCAACGAAATTCAGCCTTGAATTTCAAACTTTGAAAATGTTCAACTTTAGTCACAGGAACATCAAGCTGCTTGATGATTGTCTTATAACATTTACCTTTAACTTTTTTTTTATAATCTCCTGAGAAATCTCTTTCTTTCTGTTCCTCTGGTCCATGTTGAGTGTGGTACACACCATGTCACCAAACAGCATAGTGACTACATGTAACCCTATATATAGGCCCACTGAGAAATTACACGACTGTAGACACCTTTGATGCAAATTAATGCTATTTATTTTCAGATTTGATCCAAATAATATCAAAGGAACTAAGGGATGTATTGTTTAGCCTCCGTAGATTCTCATTTGGATTTAGGTCTAAACCTCAACCTTTGACTGGGCCACTCTGAAACATTAATAAGCCTAGCTAAGGGTTATTATCTTTCTGGAAGGTGATGCTCAACCTCTACCAGGTTTTCTTTATGTATTATTTTATATTTTCTCCCTCATCTTTTGTCCTATTATGACCAATCTATCTGTCTTTTAAAGTAAAAGCCTGACAATGCCACCAAGATGCCTCATTGTAACTCGTAGTATGTTGCAAAAACACTTAAAGGTATACTATGCAACCGGTGTTGATTTTCCAGCGAGGCTCCCCCCAGAGGGCGAAAGTAAAAGTGCACTGTCGTAAATATGTTCAGCTGTTCTCCTGGTTTCTCCGTCAAGCCAGGCTCGGTTGTTTTGAGCTTAGCAGACAGGCAAATGCAACGAATCACCATGTCTACTGCGGTAAGTGACTATTTTGTTCCAATTTTCGAGTTTGAAAATTTCTCTGTTTTCTTGCTCG